AAAGAACAAGCTCAAGAAGAGCCAGCCCGGGGATTTCCGGACGCAGGTCCCCCGGGTACTGTTCAAGTACCGGACCACACCCCATGAGGTCACTGGCCGTGCCCCCTGCGAGCTTCTGCTGGGCCGGATGGTCAAGACGCCCCTCGACGTCTTGCATCCAGACCTCCGGTCCACGGCGCTTCTGAAGCAGCTGAAGCAGAAGCTGGCTGCTGACCGAGGGTGCCGTCCCGGGCCTCTGCCGGAGCCGGGAGCGTCTGTTTACGCCAGGAACCTTCGTCCTGGCGCACCCTGTTCTGCCGGACATGTGGTTTCACCAGCGAGTGCCTCGTCGCTGCTCGTCCGCATGCCCGACGGGACCACCTGGCACCGGCACGCCGACCATGTCAGGCCTCGCTCCGGGACCTGGTTTGCACCCTCGGCCATCGCTTCGGAGGACCAGCCCGCAGGGGGACCAACGATAGAACCATTCGCGGAAAGTGGAGCGCCACCCACCCCGGAGGCGACAAGCGTCGCCACTCCTGTGGCACCAGTTGCACCGGTGCCACTCACAAATCCGGTCCCTGCAGCTCCACCGGGTGGAGCGCGACCAATTCAGGCAGCGCCCGGCGTTGCCACACCTGGCCCGTCGACACCAGTGCCCAGGCGGAGTGCACGGCAGCGGAGGCCACCTGACCGCTACTCGCCGGGGTGACCTTCATCGTCGACAGGCCGGGACTTTGCATGACCAGACGCCGAGATGGTGTCGGCCGTGCGCATTGTATTTAGTTTTGTTTTAGAACAAACAAACTGGGGGGGGGGGGGGGGGGGGGGAGGAGTGTGACAAGTTAGTGGCGCCCCCCTCCAGTCCGCCCGTCTGCGGCCGCCTGGCTCGGTGGGCAACATTATTCACCGCCCAATAAACGCCGTTGAGCGCACGCCGCTCCGGTCAGTCATCGTCCACCCTCACAACCAGGCTGCGTGTCGTCTCTTCTCGGCGGGTGCTTCGGCACCCTTCGTCCACGTCCTAGAAAGATCGTGACACGTACCTAGCGATCCCGACCCGATTTCACCGTGCCCGATTCCCATAGAACACGCTGCAGTTACCAAAGCAGCTGTCTGGCGGCGCGTCGAGCGACGCTTGGCGAGTCGTGGTGAGTGAGGGGGGGTACTGTTCGTGCATGCAGCGTCTATGAGCAGTTCCGTAACTGAGCTAATCTAATAACGTTGCCTGGGACCTACAAAAGAGAGTCCCGGTAATAAGAGAATTTCTCCTTCCCCTCTTCTCTTACGGTTGCCCGAGGGCTGACGGGAAACTCTTCACGGGCATGCGCTGTGAGCAGTTACCTCAAATATGGCGCCCAGTGAATACCTCCCATACTTGAAGGAACCGTTTCTAACAGACGGCTCTCTTATGTACATAGAATGACGGTGCCTTGTGGATTCACCAATGCGTATGTCCCTATAACTAGATTTTTTTATGTAAATTAGATCATGAAAAATTAAGAACAAAATCTTTATACGTTCACACTTTCTTCTTCATTCTAGAGCTGGGAGCTCTGCGCGACAGCATTGATCAGTGTGAGAATCTGTGCGGTTATATTTACTAAACATGAATCTAGCTGCAAGCCGCTGAGGTTTTTCAAGTGTATAGTATTGGTTTTTGTATATGGGTCCCAAATAATTTTCGCATATTCGAGAACTGGTCTCACCAATGTTTTAAACGCTATATTTTTTAATTCTGGTGTGGCGCTAGCCATGTTTGTTCTAAGGTACCAGAGTGCCTCGTTAGCTTTTGATGAAACTTTTTCAATGCGAGTGTTCCATTGTAAGTCACTCGTGAGTGCTAATCCTAAGTATTTGTGTTCATCCACACGGAGGAGTTTAGTGCCATTTAAAAAATAATCATAACTTAAAAATGTATTTTTTTCGTGTCACTGTCATCAATACCTTTTTCGAAGGATTTAACACCATCTGCCACTCATCGCACCATTGTTTAATTTTGCTGAGGTTATTGTTTAGTTCGATTTGATCTTGTTGGGTTTCAATCTTATTATACAATACACAATCGTCTGCAAACAGCTTCATTGGAGCAGAAATCCCAAAGCGCATGTCATATATTAAAAAATAATGGTGGTCCCAGTAACTACCCTGTGGAACTCTCGAAAGGACAGGTGCAAAGCTAGACTTATATTTTCGAGACTCGACAAACTGAACTCTCGAAGAAAGATAGGATGAAAGCCATTTTGTAAGTATGGGATTCTTAAATATGGTATCAATTTTAAGCAACAATTTAGGATGAGACACTTTGTCGAATTCTTTCGCGAAGTCCAAGAATATTATATCAGCTTGCCTTCGGTTGTTAATAACTTGAGCAAGATCTTGCACGGTCTCAACAATGTGTGTGGTCGTAGACAGGCCCTTGCGGAAACCGTGTTGATATTCATACAGTATATCATGGTCATTTAGAAAAGTCAACATATGTTTAGAAACGATGTGTTCGAGGAGTTTGGAGCATGTACGAATAAAAGATATGGGGCGGAAATGTTCTACTCAACTCTCCGAACCGCCTTTATAAATAGGTATAATTCTGGCAGTCTTCCAGGCTTTAGGCACGTGACATTCATCTGAGGATGACTGATAAATTAAAGTAAGATACTTAGCAACCCATTCGCCGTACCTTATTAAGAACGCAATCGGAATTGCTCTGGGACCGGAACTTTTCTTAACGTCTATATTAAGTAATAAATTTAAACCTCCTTCTTCGTGTATTTCAATACCTTCAATTGAAGGATACTTAGAGAAACCTTTAAATCCCGACAAACCTTTGTTATCTCGCGTAAAAACAGACGAAAAGGAGGAAATAAAATCTTCAACGCGTTCTTGACTGTTGCCGGAGTCGCTTCCCGATTGGGCACGTGGATTAACATAACGGCAAAATTTCGCAGAGCCATCAGTGAGAAACGCTTTCAGTGTGACGTTATAAAATTTGCCCTTCGACTCTTTCACAAGCATTTTTATATTATAACTCAGGGCGTGCAGTCACACCCTTTTATCGATATTTGGATTACGTTTAATGGTTTTCCGATAACGCTTTATTCTTCTCTTTCTTGGAATGATATCTCTAGTGATCCAAGGACTTTTTTTCCTTGTCGTTTTTGTATGAGTAGGCACAAACTGATTAATGCAGTGTTGAACGCCTTCAACAAAATACTTCCACAGAACTTCTGTACCGACAGACGTCTGGTGGAGCAACTGAAAATTGTCTATGACTTTTCAAGCTTTTCAAGGCAGTCTAAAATACTAACATCGTCGGCGGCTTCAAAATTAAGAAACGCTTTACGCGACGGACAGTCGAGTGTACCGAGATTTGCGTTTAATGTCATGACTATCATTTTGTGATCTGATACTCCCTTATAAAGTTTGCAGTTTGGAAGAGCAGCGTTTAGGTTGGCGGAAACAAAGATTAGGTCGAATAGGGGCGAGGTCGTGGAAGACACGCGTGTCTCCCCAGTGACGACTTGCGTTGAGTTATAACAGAAAGCAAGTTCCAGTAGTTGGTCACAACTATCCACTTCCGCTGTTCCGGCTGAAAGTTTATTCCAATTTATTCCTGGTATGTTGAAGTCACCCACTAGCAAAAAACTATGAGACCGTATTGCAGAGTCCATTTAATCGCATAGTTTCAGTGAGAGGTCGACTGGAGCATTAGGTGGCCTTTATACTGCACGTAGGACAACGGGCATGGCCGTTAAGTTTTATCTGGATCCACACTGACTCAATGGCTTCAGCGTCCTCCAAAATAGTAAATGTCATATTACTTTTAATTAGAATTGCAACGCCTCCACCAAGTGCTCTTCTGCATTTTCTCAGTATTCTGTAGTTTTCTGGTGTAACTTCACGATCTAAAATGTCTTTATCAAGCCACGTTTCAGTAATTACCATAATGTCTGGTTCGTGTTTTAGAACAATGCTTTCAATAAGTTCTACCTTGTTTAAGATGCTCCGAGCATTTATGTTAATTAGTTTAAAGCTCTTTTTATTATGTCATTGATCTTGTGTGCTCGGTGAAAGGAAACACTTGCATCTTATATTAGCAACTCTTTTACTTTTACGCATATATTATAACCTCTTTTGTTTGAGGATTTTTCAGGAGAAACTTTAGGAAACAAAAGGCGCCTTTGGGGAGGCGAGGGAAACCTTCGTTGTACAAACTTTGGGCTGAAATATGACTCACAATCGGCCAAAACGATATCTTTTTTTTCACGAGCTCAATCAAAGTCACCGTAGCTAATTGGAGCTAGCAACAGGATTTGGTTGCTCGAAAGAAGGTTCACGTTTGCCCGACGCCACTTCATACCGAAAAACTCGAAAAATGGCGGAGTGTAAACAATATATTTGAGATAATGAGTACAAGATACTCAGAAATGTAATTAAAATAGAGTATCAAAGACTCACGATCAAAAGTATTTGCAAAATACCAAAATACTTCAAGAAATATTTGAAATACAGTATCTAGAGTCGGGTATCTGAGATAGGCACAAGTCTGGTTTGGACGAAAACAAAGCAAGAACTGAATTTTATTCATCATTGCTTACCGACAAAGGATACGCATTAGCAGAAAATACGACGTTATTGAAAATTGCCTAAAATTTGTTAACAAACATGGTTAAAAAAACTCACCTAGCTTACTACACCTCTACAATTTGTTAATAAACTTTGTAGTACCTACTTGTAGATAGAAATGAGTTAGACCAAAAAGGGAGATGTATTGGTTGGTTTTAATTTCTAATTCATTACGCATTAAAGTGTCGGCCGATTATTTATATCTGTGTCGAAATCAATATGTTTAATCTAGTGTGATCGGTCATGCCGTTAGCTATCTAATTTTTTTATGATTTGTTTTGCATACCATGTACATGTTTCTTTTAGTTACGTAGGAAAGTGAAACGATATAGTGAAAAATAAAAATCCCGAAAGTACACCGCTTGCTTTCTGATTCCTTTGAACATCTTCTTTAATAGGAGCTGCAAACCCAGGTGTCTTCGACTTGCCGAAAAAAATCCAAGAGTTCGTGGACCATGAGTCTAGGAGATTCAACGTGCCGGTCAACTGGTGGAACATGTACGGCAACCACAGTCATCTGATCGAGTTTGCCGAAAAGTACAGAGAGTGAGTGAATCTCATGACGCGTCCTTCTACGCGGGTAGACACTGAGGGAGAAGAGGAGACGTCAAGACATCCAGCTCTAGTGGGAATGATTAGTTGGCAGACGGCCTTTGACTCTACTCACTTTTCGAACGTCGAAAGCCGGCGTCTGATGTTTGCGGATTAACGTATCCGAAGAGTGAGTAAAGACAAAGACTATGTTCCAAATCTTACCCGAGTATCCTGTCTCCTACGTCAGTGGGTAATACCACGTGACATCGCGAGTAAATGATTCGCGAGTCGATTTTGGAACGGCCGGGATAATCGCCTGGATATTATGCGGATTGGCTTCGTCTTGGGCTAAAAAAGAGCAGCGATGGCAGAAAATAGCAGACGATCCTTTTGATCACGGAGGAACCACATACAGACGATAATGTTAACCGCTTCGAAGTTTTTCTTTGACAGTGACAACGTGGTTTTTTCTGAGATGGCTCCACCGGCTCCTTTTGCTCACCTTCCTTTTGCGCTGTATATTGAGATACAAACTACTTATTCCTTTCAGTTAGACATCAATATTTTTGTTTTGATTAATCTGCACGATCGCTGTAAGTCTAGTCCAGGTGCCATCAACAGCCTCAAATCATCGTAATTAGCACCGATCATGTTTTGAGGATATTGCTTCCACACGGTGTAGCGGTAGAGCGCTTGGGGCTTTTTCAACAGTGATATTTAACTTGCGTTTGCTTTGACACGAATATGATTATAAAATCCCAGAGAGCACTTCAAAACCGCTATAGACAAATTATTGGGGAGGGAGATGTTGTGGGGTTGTTAACTGAAAGTATACATAAAATATTCGATGCCTTCATTGCTTTACAAGCGTTATCCTCTCATTACACACACTCTGGGGAGAAAAAAAACTTCGAAAAAATTTCCACATTATCTACTGCGTTCGAACATTTTCATCCTTTAACGTAAGTATTCGGAGTTCCCTCCAACGCCGAGGACGAGGATGCGGAGAAGCTCCCGTTTACGCTCGCACTCTGACAATAACAAGTAAACCTTCCTGAGGGAAGGTACACGGTCTGGATGTGGTGCAATCAATTCCTGCGTTGAAAACAACAAATTGCAATAACCACACATAAATGGGTGCACCTCATTCTTTGTTATTTCGAACGCCTGCCGCCAAAGCCAACGGAGCAAATGAGCTTCGACGGCTGTCGGCGCAGGAAGCGGACGACGAACAGATCACGTGATGTTTTTACTCGATTTGATTTGGCGTTACCCTCCGATCGAGGAGGGTAGCGCGAGTAATTACTCCGGAGCAGTGTTGGACAAAATACTTGATAAAAGTATTTAAGTTACTAAATACCTGCTTCATGAAGTATTTAAAATACTACTCAAGTTACTTTTATTGTAAAGTATCCTGGGGGGATCGGCGGCCGAGTGGTCTAGCGCTCACCAGCTCGGAGCACGTGGAACGAAAGCTCGCGCTGCAGAACCCAGGATCCTGGGCTCAATCCCCACCCCTGCCCGTTTCAATCTGGATGAGCATTGTACCGGCTTGCGGTCGTGTATCATTACTGCGCGGTGCACGTTAAAAACCCCAGGCTAGCGGTTGTACTGCACTGGCTAAATTTCTCATCTACAGCTGGGAGACTTGTCGCCAGTTGAGGCAGACCAAGTTCTAGGCTGTTTAAACATACACACAACCCAATTCTTCTTCTGTAAAGTATCTTGAGTTGAGTACCAAACACTTAGGCTGTTGTCCAAATCTTATCCAAATGGATCCGAGTTACTCCGGCTTATCGTATCACGTGACAGCACAGATTAAAAAACGCTGGACGCGGGTAGGTTTTAGAACGCCAAGGGTTAAAATCCCTTACCCTGGAGTAAGATCAAGTAAATTTTGAAACACGTTCTCAGATATGTAATTTAAAAATAAACATTTCGGCGGAACTCCACCTGGTTAGGTAAGCAATAAGACAGGGTACTTTGTAGACTCTAACCAGTTTCTTCAATATGCCTGTAATTCAATAATTTAATTCAATTATTTTTGAAAATACTTCCGCACTTATTTAATTTGTATCGAAGTCATTGACGATATCATTTATACAGCTGCGCAAATCTGATTGCCAGAATGGTTTATTAGTACGCAACAACACAAAACGGAAAAAGAAAAACGTAGTACGGTTATTTTATGCAGTCATATTATAAGGAGTAGGATATTGTCACGAATGAAAAATGATGAGGCGGCGAAAAACTGAAGACACTGAACGTTTAATGGGGCGAACTTGTGCCCAAAACAAAATCGAGAAAGACTAGCGTTGCAGGCGTCGATGTCGGCGGCACAGCAAAATCGAGCGCTGCGGCGAGACTGACTCCTGGACCGCCACACGGAGCACCTTTTGTACCCGCGTGGATTTCTGGAACATTCGGCATAGAACGTTCGGCGCGTAGAACATTGGTAACTCAATCAGACGACAAGCTTTCAGACGAAAAGATGTCAATTAATTACCAGCTCGCCTGCACTCTCTCACTGCTTACAAGCTTTTCAACTTGCGAGAGTGTCAAGATGAAAGAAAAAATAAAAAGAGGAGTTCGCTCCCTGAAATCAAACCCGGAGCCTCCGTGCGAGAGCCAAGCGCGGCAACCATTCGGACACGCATTCGTTCTGCGCGTGGCAGTATCACTGATGTTACAAAGTATCTCTGGAACAAAAATAAAGGTCGCTTTGGAAATGGGGGGAAGATCAGACCGCGGCGCCCCAAGCGGTTAACTTTAGAATTACACATATGGGGACAACAAAAACAATGACTCAGCGCTCGGCTGACCTGACCGAATGCGGCGTCAGCGTTCGGCTGGAGTTCGTGTTCTCCGGTGAGGGGGAGGATTGGCTCTTTTGTTACCACTCCGGCTTACATGAACAATTCAGCATGCACAGTCCTCAGCTCTGCACAAAAGCCGAAGAGGATCAAGCTCGCATCCTCTGACGACTGCTTTCGGGAGAGATCCGGCACTTAACGCTACTTCGTTTATTGTTTGTATTCCCACAAGACATTCCCACTAGGCCTGTGGGCACGTGCACAGGCCTTGTGTTGGGTAAACACCAAGGGTTGGGAGACAAACGGGGCAAAGCGCCTCGCCAATAGTGGCATCGCTGAATATCACGTCCTGCGGCGCACCTTAGAGGCATCGTTTAACTACAATCCATATTCCCTATATGGGGAGTTCACTATAAACGAACTTGGGAAACGGATATGAGTGAATGGATAACAAAGGCAACCCACATAATAGCCACAGCAGTGGTCGCACCTTCAAATAGATTGTGTTCAGAAAAGCACTCAATGTTGGGGACGCTTTGTTGTCATTTTGAGTGGTCATCCATCTCGTAGTTCATTTCCTGTCCTGTTCGCTGCTTAACAATGATCGTTTACAGGCAGTGTTCGCAAGAGCACTAAATGCCGGACTGACGACACGAAAAAAAAAAAAAAATCCTGGACGTTTTGCAGTATCGGTGGCAAATATACAAGCAAAAAAGTCTTATTTTTGTGTTTACCTCTCATTTTCATCTATTGGTTATTTTTTTCTCTTTTGAAGCTCAAGTCTGCGTTGTTGTCCTATGTCGTTTCCCGGTCTGCGTTGAGCCTCAAGGCTCTGTTATACTCCGACGTAACGCGCGCGCAGGCGAACGCCGGCCGAAGTCGGCTACGTCACGTCAGTCACGCCGCGCGCGTCAGAAATTCGCCCTCTTTATACTCCGGCGGCCCTGGCGACTCCCGCGCTGTGCTTCGGTGGGCCGCCGGCGTGGCGCATGCGCAGAATCTGACTACGAGGGCACGTTTCCTGTGGGAGTGCGCCACTTCGGGTTTCTTTTCGTTTCGAATAGCAGACGAAAATTCTGGCGTTTCTTGAGCGCCAAGTTCGAGCGATGGCGTGGACGTACCTTGCACGACGAAAACTCGCGCTTGCACTGTTGTTGCACCACATGCCCCGCAAGCGTAGGCGGTCAATGTACATACGGTACATCTTTGACAAGCGCAAGGCCTACGGTACTCAAGCTTCTTCGTGTCGTAGACACACAAGTGAGGACGAATTCCCTCGATGAGCTTCTCGACCGACCGAGTCCGATTCTTCAAACATGACGCCACACGGAGTGGTGCTCCCGTCGTCTGCTATTGCTCGTATCCGCCGCGCTTCCTGGGTGAGGGCTGCCGGGAGCCAGTGCGTGATGCATCCTGGTCCGGCGTCGCCGGCGCGGCCGGCGCGGAATACCGCACGCTCCGTTTTGGCGTCGAGGCGGTCAGGCTGCGTCGAACGCCGCCGGTCGCGTCGGTTACGCCACGACGCCGGAGTATAGAGCGTCGAGTTTTCGCCGACGTGACGTCGCTGTGACGCGCTCGCACGCGCGCACGCGTTACGTCGGAGTATAACAGAGCCTTCAGTGTGGCAACCTTTACTTCCGTAAAACCACCACTTTTGTTTGAGGATATTTTGGGGGACACTCTAGGTAAAAAAGGCGCCTTTGGGAAGGCGTGGGGAAAACCTTCATTGTCCGAACTTTGGGCTGAAATATAAAATATGAATCAAAATCGGCAAAGAAGCGATGTTTTCACGAGCTGAATCAAAGTCACCGTAGCTAATCGGAGCTAAAAAAAGTCAAATTTAGAGGTTTAACGTGCCAAATCAACGACGGGCATGTGGCACGCCCCAGCGGAGGACTGAGGATTAATTTCGACCACCTGGGGACCTTTGACGTGCAACCGAAAGCTCGGTTACACGGCGCCTTGTCCGCAATAAGCCTCCGTCATATTGCGGGCCTTTCGGTCGGGATTCGAACCCGCCACCTGGGGATCCGTAGGCCGGCGCTCTCGCCTCGGAGCCACCGAGGCGGCTCGGTAATCGGAGCTAGCAACAGGATTTGGTTGCTCGAAAGAATGTTCACGTTTGCTCGTGCCACGCCCACACCATTTCATACCGAAAACTCGAAAAATGGCGGAATGCCAAAAATGTAGTTGAGGTAA